GTTCGTGGTTTTATGATTCTGTGATTTGTATTAACTTTTAGTGTTTTTTTTTGTTTTCGTTGTCATTCATTCATTCCGAAAAGCCCAAAGAAAATTGCCCACTATTCAAAAGCGTCATTGTCTGCGAATGGATATCGATGTGTGTGTGTGTGAATGTGCACAAGGATATATCTTTATTTGTATTAATGTACATGAGCATCTGCAGGATATTTATGTAATGCATATTTATTCCGTAATAACGCTTTAATGGGGCGTCTATTTGCTATTATTGTTATTTTTGTCATCGTCGTTGTTATTGTCGTCAACTTCGAATATATTGTCTGTCGGATAGGATATTTCCGTTTGTCGTAGGTTTATTTGTAGATGGAACCTATTTCTATTTGCCTGAAAAATTAATTAAAACAAGTTCGAATATATCAGAAAGTTTAGCATTATATACCCTCAGGATTTGATTATTGTATATCATATAGACATATTTGTATACCATGTGTGGTAACTTTCAGCCACATATCGTATATAAATATGTATATATGATATATAAATAATCAAATACTGAGTTCATACACTTGATGTCAAACCGTCTGATACTTCGAATTTGTTTTAATGCAGGTCGACTTTTTACAGCAAATATAAATAGGTCCATCAAAAGCACAAAATGCGGGGAATGTTTAAAGAATACTCAAAAATTCATACTGGGAGATCATGTCAAAATATACTTAAAAGGTCCATTATTTTTTAACAAGAAGTCCTAAAAATTTATTTTTTGAAATTCCATTGTTCTGGGACAGGAATTATTATACCCTCAGCCATATGGCTACAGAGGGTATATATCATTTGATACGGTCAAAACGTGCCTAGTCGAAATAACGGTTTTAGACCCTAGGTCTCTTTGGACCAAATCCGTTTCAGAACATTTGGAGTCGATCTAGCGATGTCCGTCCGTCCGTCCGTCCGTCCGTCTGTCTGTCTGGCTAGCTGGTGCGCACGATAACTCTCGAAGGGAGTATCCGATTTGGTCCAAACTTGGTACATCGTAATATTTTTGTCAAACTTAGATCGAGTTCGGAGATGGGCAATATCGGTGCACTCCTTCTGGTACCTCGCCCACAAAAGTTCGAAATTTTCAAAAAATTTAGTTTTTGCACAGAAAGAGAAACGATGATCCGATTTTGCTCAAACTTTGCAAATCTTAATATTTGCGTCAGTACTAGGTCAAGTGTGAAAATGGACAATATCGGTCCACTCCATCAAGTACCTCCCCCACAAATGGTCAAAATTTTGAATAATTACATCTCTTATAAAATGTGATATAAGAGTCCAATTGTCATCAAATTTCACACATGCCAATATTTATGTTAACCCAAGGTCTGGTGTTAAGATGGAATATATCGGTCCACTCCTTCTGGTACCTCCCACACAAATGATCGAGATTTTCAAAAAAATATATTTTTTCTGCACAGGAAGAGAAGCGATAATCCGATTTTGTTCCAACTTTGCTAATCCTGATATTTACGTCAGTTCTAGATAAGGTGCAAAAATGGATAATATCGGTCCACTCCATCAAGTACCTCCCCCACAATAGGTCGAAATTTTGAATATCCATCAAGCTCTTAAAACACTAAATTAACATCCGATTCCATTCAGAATTAGCAGGTCTCAATATTTTTATAAACGCAAGATCTTTTATAATGATGGTAGAAATTGAATCATTCGTTCTGGTACCTCCCACACAAAGGACCTAAGTTTTGAATAATCAAAACGAGGAAAGAATCCGAAATAAACATCCGGTTCTCTTCATATTACTCACGTCCCAATATTTCTACTAACTCAAGATCTGGTGTGAAGATGGGATATATCGGTACACTCCTTCTGGTACCTCCCCCACAAAAGATCAAAATTTTGAGTATCCACGAAGCTCATAAAACGCAAAATTAACATCCGATTCTATTCAGACTTGAAGCTTCTCAATATTTTCGTCAACACAAGATCTGCCAACTTATAATTGTCATAACTTGCGAAACAAGCCGGTGGTTCTTAACAACTTGCTATATCTAAATATTTCTCTTAACCAGTATTCTGATAGGAATATGTAATTTGTCGGAATTTATGATTTCGCATAAAGTTGGATACGAATGTTCAATTTCCTTCAAATTTTGCACATACCAATATATTTTTTCTGTATTAGATGAAGTATGAAAATGGAATATTTCGGTCCGCTATATCTGTTACCTGACGCATATTTCCGAAAATGTGCACCTATCTCATATAAAGTACAAGAATTAGCCGATATAGTCCAAATCTGTCACGGATATAACTCAAGGCTGGGGGTATACATCTGTCGGCAAAACCGACTGATTCTATTTTACTTGTTTTTTAATGTTAATCGATCACAAAGACGGGTTAAAAATACAATTTATTTGTCTAAACCTATTTCAACGTCTCCATATGTCAACCCTACAAACCAACAGTCCCCTCAGTATCAAATTTCGGGGTTCCACCTCTATCCCTTCTCTCAATACCAAATTTAGTGGCGCGTAGATTTTTTCGAACAATTATTGTACATATTTCCAATAACACCTCCATATCTTAACCACAGACACCAACAGTGACATCTAAATCACATTTCAAGATCTTAGCTCTATTCCTTCACCCAACACCAAATTTAATCCGAATAAGTACTTTTCAAAGAACTATAGTTCGTATTTTCAAAACCACCTCCACATCTCAATTACAGATACCAACAGAGACTTCAATATCAAATTTAAGTATTCCAGATCTATTACATCACCCAATACCAAGTTTAGTATCGTTTAGTACTTTTCGACAAATTAAAGGGTTTTTTTCTATCCCTGCACTCAATACCAAATATAGTACTAAATGTACTCTTCGTACATATACAGTACTCAATTTTCCACATGTCCAGGCTATACATGAACAGCAAGCACGATTTGTTCATCAATCTGTTCGATTTAGTACTCTTCGTGCCATTGTAGTACATATTTCCAAAACCGCATCTTTATCACAAACCAACCACCAACAGGGATCCGAATAAAAAGTTTCAAAATTCCAACTTAATCCATTCAACTTAAATTAAACTGTTCCAAATTTAGTACCATTTAGTACAGTTCGCACACTTAGTACACATTTTCAAAACCACCTTCATATATCAAACTTAACTTCCAACCTTGATGCTCATGCCAAATGTTAAGTTCTTAGTTCTTGTACCTCCCCTACAAAAGGTCAAAATTTTAAAATAAAATGTCTTGCATCTTAGAAAGAGAAAGTATCATCCGATTTTGCTCCAACTTAGCAAATCCCAATCTTTTCATCAGCTCTGTGCAATACAACAATATATGCCCATTTCATCAAGTACCTCCCCCATTAAGGGTCAAAACTTGGGATAATTATAACTCTTTTAAAATATGAAATAAGACTCAGATTGTCTTCAAATTACAAACATTCTAATATTTTACCACCATAATATCTGGTGTGAAGATCTCTGGTGAACGGGTCAAAATTTTGAATAGCTACGAAGCTAATAAAACGAGAAATGAGCATCCGATTCATTTCATAATTAGCATATCCTAATTTTTCTATTAATACAAGGTCTGATTTGAAGATAGAATATATAAGACCTCCACTTCCCACAAAATGTTGAATAACTATATTATTAATAAAAAATCTAAATAACCATTCGAATTCTTTCAAATTTGACACATCCGAAGATTTTAATTAACACAAGTTCCGCCGTGATATTCTGTATCGGACCACTACTTCTCGTACCTCGACAACAAAGTGTCAAAAAATTGTATAATTATAACTAAATTTCTCACATTTCAATATTTCCACTAACGCAAGAACAACGAAAAACGGATAGAATGGAAAATTCCTTCTAGGTCCTCCTCCACAACGGGTTAAAATTTGGAATAACCATTAAGCACATAAAACGTGAAATGAACATGCGATTACTTTCAAACTCGGACCATCCTAATGCTTCTATCAACACAAGATCTGCTATGAAGATTAACAATATCGGACTACTCCTTCTGGTACCTCCCCCACAACAGGTCAACAATTTGAATAATTATTACTCTCATAGAACGCGAAAAAAGCATCCGATTCTCTTTAAATTTCACACATCCAAATATCTCTTCCAATACAAAATATGGTATAAAGTTTATAGATATCGGTCCAATCCTCTGATATCTCTCCCACAAAATGGTAACAATTTTCAATAGTTATATCTCTCATAACTTGCGAAACATAAAATCGGAAATGAATGTTAGATTTTCTTTATTTTTGCACATCTCGATATTTCGAATTGGATGAAGTAGGTGACTTCAGTCCATTATTAAACTTAAGTCACATATGAAATGAACAATATTACCCACTCCTTCGGAACCTCCCCTATAAAGGGACAACAGTTTGAATAATCATAACGCAAGTCACAATATATTGAAATATCGGAAATTGGCTAAGGGTATACATTTGTCGGCAGAACCGACCGAAACGTTTTAACTTCTTTAAAATGAACTCTATGATCCCCTCCTACGCTCTCATTTTTCGATTTTTCATCGAAGCCATATGACCCAAGGATTTGTTTTGATTTATTTTCTACGCATCCATTACTAATTTATAACTCTCCTGCGATTCGGTTGCTTTTGAATTATGGAGCAATTTTGTTCCTTCCTCTCGAAACGATACTTCTGAGAACTGTTTCCCTCTCACCCCAACCAATTAACTCTTTCTTTGAAAAATAAATTATAATAAAATAACTATTTTAACAGTTCATTGCATATTTCTTTATCTGTTTTTCCTTCTTTTACGCAAAATGCAAATCATTAAATTAACTTGCCCCAACAAATTACTCATAATTGAATTAAGAAGAGATTTTCCGATCCACGTTATGCTTCTTGCAGGCGTGCATTCATGCAGACATATGCTCGTAAATACATATATATCCATCAATTAATGGCATTATTATTATTCTTTGCTTTCAGATACGACTATGACACGCTGCTGCTCAACTCAACATTCTGCCTGGTGCCTCGGGGGAGACGTTTGGGTTCCTTCAGGTATGTTTGCTATGTGGCCAATTACAGCCTCCATTTCATTTACATGCGACCTTTGACCACCGACCGCCGACCACCGTGCGAGCATCAGGCCAATAAATGTTCGTGAGTTTGATGAATGACTTGCTTTTGTCTCACTTGAATTAAATGCCAAGTTAAGAGCATGAAGAAGAAGGAGAAGCATTTAAAATCTGCCAATATGTCTGACCTTATCACAGCAGGTTACCATGCGCTTGTGTGTATTACATTTCCCATGAAGTAGGAAACGAACATACACATGTATATACGCCTTCCAGCTCACATCGAATGCACGCTCTATTGGCCTGATGGCGCATTAAAAATGCATTGAAATCTCTCTCTCCAGCCCATTTGTCCTGGCTGACCTACATAATCATCCTCGGCTGCCTTCTTTTCAGTTATAAAAGTTTTAAACTTATGCTGTTCCTTCTTTATTTCTTTTTCTCTCACTCTCTCACTTTGCAACTTTTCCTCTGCTCTTCTTCCTTAATTAGATTTCTCGAAGCCATCCAGGCCGGCTGCATTCCCGTACTGCTGTCCAATGACTGGGTTTTGCCATTCGAGTCGAAAATTGATTGGAAACAAGCGGCTGTTTGGGCCGATGAAAGACTGTTATTGCAGGTGAGTACCACCGAAAAAACGCAACGAAAACTAAAATGAAAATGAACAAAACGAGAATGAAAATGAAAAGTACAACCGAAAACAGCGCGCCAACCTGGTGATGATGGCTAACGCCAGCAAAACGATGTCAGTTGAATGACATTCATGCCACATTGTCATTTAGTCATTCCATGATTCCACCGCTGGCAACAACGTGTTGTATTAGTTTAACATTCATTCGTCCAGCTGTGAAATTTGCAAACTCGATTACAATTCTTGTTATTTTACTCTTTGGAAACTCTGCTCCAAACAAAAAAAAAAAAAAAAAAAAACATTCACACCTGCTGGGGCAACAACAACTTTGAAGGGTCTAAAATTCAAATGAAAATCGATTGAAACAGAATGTCAAAAAGTTTGTCTTCCAAAAAATTAGAAAAAAGAAAATCAAACTATCTACATCGAAATTAATGAAAAAGGAATATTCTAGTTTTGAATAATGAAATTGACCGGGAAAGGCTCTAGAATAGCTTATTGCACGATGGGACGCTTTAGTTTTATTTTTCATAATTTTTTCATTTATATTGCCCGAGTTTAAAAGAAAAGTAAATAGATTTAATTGTAGCGTGGTAGAATTAAGAAGGTAAAGTCATGTATCATACCTTTACAATTTTTTCAAAATTGACCATCTGGCATCATTGCCAAAATGAACTAGAAGAAGTGGTCCGTTGTGTCTCATCTCCACACTATATCTTGTTCTGATAGACATTTTAAGGTGCGGTAGCAGTAGGAGTTGTATGTTCTATCCGTTCTTCATATCTGATCTTTTGTTGGTAGAGCAAGTAAGCAAAGGCCATAGTCGTGCGGGGCCGTTACATTTTAGAAGCCCTCTTATGTCCAAATCCATTTTGGAAGATTCCGCTTTTGAAATTATGTCATGGAGCACTGCCCAGATTTTTTTTTAATTCAATTTATTAATGCTTTCTATCATATATTCGATATTTACATTATGCTTAGATGTAATGGATATTTACAGTCGTTCAATAGGGCTTTCCCAGTGGTTGGCCCATAAACAAAATTATATTTCAAAAAATGATAAGTGACAATTTATTTAAATTTAAAATTTTTATATTCAGGGCTGTCACAGAAACCATGTCGGTTTTGCTTATTGTCGTTTTTGTAAACCAATGTTGGTTTCATTTGGTGTCATGAAACCAAGTTGGTTTTGTCAATTTCGAATGTAAATAAAACCAATGTTCGAAACAGCTGTTGTTGCTTGTTTCTTCTTATTGTTGTTGTTTCTTATTTTTCATTGAAATATCAGTAAAAGTAAAGTAAATAAAAAAAGGAATAAGTCGCTATAAATAAAGTAAGATGGCATCAGCAGTAGTAGTTTTTGTGTTGTTGGACGAAGAACGCTCAAAAAAGGTGACGAGAAAAGCTCTTAGAGATTTCAGCAACCCACTGGAGTTGCCGGAGTTGTGAACTTACTCATAAACCTGCTTTGCAGATTTATGGTTTATGGTCCTTTAAAAATTATTTAAAAAATCCTTAAAAAATCCACGTTTATGGTCCTTTAAAAATTATTTAAAAAATCCTTAAAAAATCCACGTTTATGGTCCTTTAAAAATTATTTGAAAAATCCTTAAAAAATCCACGTTTATGGTCCTTTAAATATCCTTTAAAAAATCCACGTTTATGGTCCTTTAAATATTCTTTAAAAAATCCACGTTTATGGTCCTTTAAAAAATCCACGTTTATGGTCCTTTAAATATTCTTTAAAAAATCCACGTTTATGGTCCTTTAAATATCCTTTAAAAAATCCACGTTTATGGTCCTTTAAATATCCTTTAAAAAATCCACGTTTATGGTCCTTTAAATATTCTTTAAAAAATCCACGTTTATGGTCCTTTAAATATCCTTTAAAAAATCCACGTTTATGGTCCTTTAAATATTCTTTAAAAAATCCACGTTTATGGTCCTTTAAATATCCTTTAAAAAATCCACGTTTATGGTCCTTTAAATATCCTTTAAAAAATCCACGTTTATGGTCCTTTAAATATCCTTTAAAAAATCCACGTTTATGGTCCTTTAAATATCCTTTAAAAAATCCACGTTTATGGTCCTTTAAATATCCTTTAAAAAATCCACGTTTATGGTCCTTTAAATATCCTTTAAAAAATCCACGTTTATGGTCCTTTAAATATCCTTTAAAAAATCCACGTTTATGGTCCTTTAAATATCCTTTAAAAAATCCACGTTTATGGTCCTTTAAATATCCTTTAAAAAATCCACGTTTATGGTCCTTTAAATATCCTTTAAAAAATCCACGTTTATGGTCCTTTAAATATCCTTTAAAAAATCCACGTTTATGGTCCTTTAAATATCCTTTAAAAAAATCCACGTCATAGTCCTTTAAAAATTCTTTAAAAAATCTACATTTTTAGTCCTTTGAATATCCTTTGAAAATTGTTTAAAAAATCCACATTTTTAGTCCTTTGAATATCCTTTAAAAATTGTTTAAAAAATCCACATTTTTAGTCCTTTGAATATCCTTTAAAAATCCACATTTTTAGTCCTTTGAATATCCTTTAAAAATTCTTTAAAAAATCCACGTTTATTGTCCTTTAAATGTCCTTTAAAAATTCTTAAAAGAATCCAAGTTTCTAGTCCTTTAAAAATTGTTTAAAAAATCCACATTTTTAGTCCTTTGAATATCCTTTAAAACAAGGCTAGGCAAAGAGTATCCCTTGGGATATCTGTGTGTTCACCAACACAATTGTAAAAAATAAATTGTTTTGAATTTTCTGTCAAAATGGTTTTGGGAGAATATTTAGTTTTGTTCGAGCAGTCGATGTGGAAGGTGCTGTCGGATATTTTTATGAATACACCGTAAGAAATATTGGAGAACAAATATATCTTACTACATATTTGGAACAAATATTTCCGAAATTGTAAAAATTACAACTTTTTAGATTTATCTTTTTTGATTGAATTCTATTTGACAACATTTGCATACGAATTCACATATTAGGAATAGAAATTCATTTCATATTGTTAGACAAATTTATTGTCCTTCCAAATTAATGGACATTTCCATATCCCTTGATTTCTCTGAAACAATATGTACGTTCTTAGTCAATATTAGGAAAAAAACAGGATGTGATGTTTGTAATTCATAGAAATAATATTTTAGGACCCAATGCAGGATATGAGTTTCTAATCAGCATAAAATTCTACGACTATTTGCCTCTGATAATCGGTATTACTTTTTAAAGGGTCAACTTAGATGATTAGGATTTTAAGTCCAGAATTATTAAACACATATAACATCAAAATTATATAAAATTTGTGAAAATGTCAACTTATAAATATTATTTATTTTAAACAAATCATAATTGACCGTGCAAAAACTGTGCAAATATATCTCCGAATTGTCTGATCAAAATATTAATTTTTACCAACGAAGTTTTTTGAAAACAGAAAATTTTAAATTGAAAATTTAAAATTTAAAGATACCAATTATTTCTCTCTCTGTAAAGAGACACAAAAAAACAATTTCAATATTTTGTTATTTCAAAACACATACAATCACAAAAATATTCTTAGGCTCTCTGCCTAGCCCTGCTTTAAAAGTTGTTTAAAAAATCCAAAGCAAATGAAAAGTGACAGCTCTAAGCAACTTGGTTTATTCCCAATATCAAAACCAATAACATTGGCTTCTATGACAACAAAAACCGATAAAATTCTAATTCGAAAATAAAACCAATAACATTGATTTTCATGACACCAAAGCATTTTTTCTTGTCGTTTTTAAAACCAATAGTGACAAAATTGGTTTCTATGACAGCCCTGATTATGTCTTGAGGCGCTCTTCTTCTTAGTCTAATAAATGTTTCTGGATTATTCATCAAGTTTGCAGCCAAGGAATTTGTATGTGTTTCTATTCTCAGTTTGTAGTTTTGGATCTGGTATGATATTTCTTCTTTCACGGTTCATATGTTTAATTCTTTATGAAGCCGAACATTTGTTATGTATTGAGGTGCGCCAGCAATTTTCCGTAATGTTTTTGATTGGAACTGCTGTAGTGTTTTTATTGTTGTATTGGAGGCGGTTCCCCATAACTGAATGCCATATGTCCATATTGGCTTTATGATGCATTTGTAAACAAGAAGTTTATTTTCGAGGGACATTTTGGAATTTTGTCCGATAAGGTAATTCATTTTGTGTGCTTGAATATCCAGAGCCCTTCTTTTTGTTTTGATATAACCCAGATATAACCCTTAGTATTTTGACCAGGGACAGTTGCCCAATATTTACGTACTACGTCGTGCTGTTAGTTGTTGTTTTCATTTTTACAGCTAAATATAATCCAATGGTCATCCCAAATGCTAGAATTCTTCCTTGTTTTTAACTTCTCAGGCGTGTCGATTGGCTTCAATGAATGAAAATTTGCCTGTTTTTTGGTTCATTTGAACCCGTAAAGCAAGAGGGCTCTCTGTATCTCCAAATTTAGACTCATCTATATGAATTGCTTGTCTACGATATGTGGCTAAATTCGGCAACGAAATCAGCATAAAAAAGCCAGAAGTTTGACTTTTGTGTATTTCGGATATCGCCTGTAAGTAATGTTGGTATTTTTTCACACAAAAGCAGTTGTCCATTCTTCCCGCTGTCCTAAACTCTAACTTCATGCGAGATTTCGTATCCTTTGGTTTCTGTTTATGACCTTTATAACGACTGCAAAATCAGAAACATTTTTAGTTGTTGGTCCATTTAAACCCCTAAATATATTGCGAACATCTTTGAAAACAATAGGCCTAGCCCTTCTGAGCCTAACCCTACCCTTGAAAAAATTTTCGTGAGGGACGATACATTGTATATATTTCGCTATATATATCCGATATATTCACTATCGGAATCTACGTAACGGTCAGATTTGACCTGTGCGTCTATTTGCGAATTCGCGGTGATTAAAAATATTCACGGTTTAATGAAAATTTTGACTTTTATTTAACACATAT